ATGCGTGAGTCTACACTACAATAAATTTGACTCCACTCCGAACGACATCCTATAAATGCAATTATGCCAGATACATACACAAAACGCATAAGAAAACATCATAAATTAACGAGGCAGTCGTCGTCAAGAGCCTACTCTAGATAATGACACTCTCACTCAACTGTACTATAGTGGACTGGCTACCCAATTCCTGAGTTCCCGCGCCCTAGCACCATAATAAATGCTTCAACTAACGCACAACACACACACACACACACACACACACACACACACACACACACACACACACACACACACACACACACACACGCACGCACATGTGCACCCGCACACACGCACATGTGCACCCGCACATGCCACAAGACAGGACAGGTCGTCTGCACGCCACGCGAGGAGCACACAACATGGCCGGGTCAGCCCACAAAACGAGACCGTTGTGATATTGGCGTGAGCACGCGCCGGATACCTGATCCTGTTTTCGCCGAGGTCTGATGAAAGAGCGCGTCGTTCTCCTGCGCAAGGCGACGGCCCTCCTCTATCGCATCGCACCCTTCCTCCACCAGGTCCATCTTGTTCGCAACCAGGCACAGAACTAGAGATGGAGTGCACAGCAGTCAAGGGGAGGCGCGTGTGAGGGCAATCCAATGACAATGACGCTCAGACTCAAGCACAAAAGTGCGAACACGCACACGCGCGCGCACAAGAACACACGCGCACAAGAACACACGCGCACAAGAAAACACTCACACATAAACACACACACACTCACACATAAACATATAAACACGCACACACACATATAAGAGAACGCATACACATGTATTTTTGTACACACGCACTCAGATGCTCGCTGCAGTTGTCCCGCAGCTCGTTGATCCAGTCCAACGCGTCATCCAAGGACTTTGGGTTGGTCACATCGTACACAAGCAATGCCGCCGACGCGCCACGATAATACATGGGCAGCATGCTGTGAAACCTGCACAGAGAAGAGCGAGTGTGCGTGTGTGTGTGTGTTGTGTGTTGTGTGTTGTGGGTTTGTGTCAATGTGTCAGTTGACATGTGAACGGTTAATGGCTGGGACGAACGCAGGTAGTACTTATCAAGCAAGCATCTCCAGCACTGACACATGCGCATACCTTTCTTCGCCCGCGGTGTCCCATATTTGAAGCTTGATGGTGTGTTTTCCGGCGTTGCTGCGCACAACAACGACGATAACGACGATGCCAGACATCAAGCAAGGGTGATCAAAGCAAAGCCGTGAGTCTGCAGAGGAAGTGTGTGGACCATCGACAGCCGAGAACAACTCACGCACCATCACACATCAGCCATACCACACACACATCACACACACACACACAGCAGCCATAACACACGCACACACATAACACACACACATACACAGCAGCCATAACACACGCACACACATAACACACACACATACACAGCAGCCACAACACACGCACACATACACAGCAGCCATAACACACGCACACACATAACCACACACGTACATTTTGTGCTTGAAGAAGGAGGCGCCCACGGTCGAGGAGACCTTCTCACTGAAGTCGTTGTTCACATACCGAACAACAAGCGATGTCTTGCCAACATCTACAAAGCACAAGACAAGCACGGCAACCGCGAGTATGTGTGCAAACATGATGATGATGATGATGATGCCGCTGACAAGGATGATGACGATGAGGACGAGGACGAGGACGAGTCAAACCAAAACACAAACAAATGATCACAGAAGTGCTCCTCAACCGAACAACCACGCGCTTCAACAGTCAAGCGCTTCAGCACCCTCGCCCCCGTTTTCTTCTCAGCTCTCAACGCGGTCCCTCAATATCAGGCCAAGACACAGACACACACATACACACCTTGGCTTCCCACCAGCACAACCTTCGCCTCAATCGAGTCCATCGTTGACGTTGTGTGAGTCAGCGTCGTTTTGTTGTTGTTGTGTTGTTGGCGAAATAATGAATGCACTGCCAAACAACACACACACGCAACCAGAACAGCGCAAACCACGTGATGTTGGGGTGCAGTGCTGCCGCGTCGCGGCTGTGGCGAGCTGTGGCGGCAGGGAGCAGGACACCCTTGGGCGGTGCAGCAACAGCAGCAAGGGGCGGTAGCGTGACACACTGCTGCGCCTGCTGCCGTCGCGTAGCATCAACAGGGAAGGAAAGCAAAGACCAGAAGCAGCAACAGCAGAGCAGCAACAAGCAGCAAGCCAAGAAGCAGAAGAAGGGCAACAAGCAGAAAGATGGGAGCATGTTCAGTGACACGCTTTGTCTGCCTCAGACGGCGTTCCCCATGCGCGCAAACGCAGCCACGCGAGAGCCCATGATCCAGGAGAACTGCTTCAAGGGCGTGTATGAGGAGCTGGCAGCGCGCGATGGCCCCGCCTTCATCCTGCACGACGGCCCGCCCTTTGCCAACGGCAACCTGCATATGGGCCACGTCCTCAACAAAGCCCTCAAGGACATGATCGTGCGCT